TTCATTTCTTGGTCCTTCCACAACATTCCTTAACGTCCAAAGCGAGTTGTTCGAGGCTATTTCCTTTGTTTGCAGCCATGTTGTCTACATTGACTGCTTGAAAGGTCATCTTGTTCTCCAACTGTTGTATTTTCGTGTTTTGTTGCTTCAGAATCATCTCGATACGTACAAACTCACCACAGCACAGCAACAGAGCAATGATGGTGACTATCTTTGAAGCAGTTAACTTATCAATTTAGTTTCCAAAGATACACTCGGTTAATTGAGAGTATTCCTTTGAGATATCAAATGAACAACGACGCGCAGAACTTTAATATACCAGGATTGTTTTGATCAAAGTTACGTACAAAGGTCGTCTCTGATCAATTCTAATAGATCTAGAATTTCAAGACCTCATATCGCATTTGGCAAGAAATCAAGAATCGATAGTTAGGTTAGAAGATATTTTTTTCTTATACAGAACACAGGTAGCCCAATTTAAGATTTTACTCTTGAAATCACTCTCGACCCCAAAGTCTTACAAACACCAAGGACAGACTCGTACCCAGTCGCTTCTCTTGTCTTATTAATCTCACGCTGTGGTTGATGGGAAGSATTTAGTGAGTTCCCTGTGCATCAGGGGAAGGAAAAAAAGCCACCGCGCGCAAAAGCTACCGCGCGCAAAAAAGCCTGAAACAAATGACGACTGGGTAATAATAATAATAAATAATGTTTTATTGAGCGCCAATTCCCAGCGGTTCAACAGCGCTTTACAAAATACAAAAAATATTCATTCTAGATAAATAGAAAGTAAGATGATAATTAAAAGAATATAATAAAACAGTTTAACAATACTAATTTAAAAATAATTTAACAATATTTCAATACCATATATTAATGTATCAATAATGTTATATAAACAACTTTCAGTAACTTTTAATTATAATCAAAATCAAAATTAAGATTAAGATTAAGATTAAGATTAAGATTAAGATTAAGGGCATTTAAACATTATAGTCACATCATAGACAAAATAAAGATACTGGTTAAAATAAATTTATTTATTAAAAAGAAATTAATAAAAGGCCTGCTTAAAGAGCCATGTCTTTAAGCAGCAGTAAGGGGGACTCGCGGTCACCCCTCGGAATTACACGGATATTCCCCGTGCTCACGTAACAGCGTCCGAGTCGGGTATTACCCGCGCGCTGATTCCCTTACTGCTGATGGGTACCGTAAATGGAGGTTAAGATATTTTGTTGGATATACGATGCATTAGAAGAGTGTATGGATTGTCCGCGCCTCGTCAACCATGTTTCGACTACCTTTTCTACTGGTAGGCACAAAGTAGTATTTTTTTGTGTCCTCTGCGCTGGTAGCAAGCACCAGAAATGTCCATAGGGAAGTAGGTGGAGGCGAAATGCCTCTCCATGGTAGCAAGAAATGCTATTATATATATTTCAAAAGTGTCTCA